ACATGTGAAAAGTCTGCTGCATGTGAAACATATGAAGTGTCTAAAAGTGTGTAAAGTTCACACGTGTATCATGTGAAGTCCATGAGACTTTTCAGTAAGGGTGTAACAAAGTGGGTGTGTGAAATAAAAAAAGGTACGACATTAAAGTGTGTGTGGTCCCTGCGTGAGTGTGTATTTCTGTAGCTATGAAAGACTTCCGTTGAAGTTAAATATACGCCTTAAACACTCAGTTCCGCTCAGTTAAAATTTTATTTTAGCCTGAAGGTAATAATTGTGGAGGCTGTAAGCCAATTGAAATTCTCTTTAAACCTTAAAGTCAAGCCTAATGAAAATTCAGGGTTTTATACTCATTTAGGTAAATTATATGGTGCGTGTATGATGAGGTGATGAGTGTAGTGCTCTGTGGTTAGCTATAAAATGCTGAATGAGGGTTAGCATCTTAAATCTGCAGCTCTTACCATTGTGCTGCAGGTCCGAGCACTGAGTGAGAGGGTCTCCGTTCCTGATGTCTTGGCGCCGAGTCCTCCTACACACGCACAACACCCATGCACACACACATGAGACATGATTAGGAAATGCAGGAGGTAAGCTACACATGTGTAAACATTCACTAAACACAGGAATTTGGTCTTTGTCAGAAGCCCACAAGTCCTTCATCTCTCATCGCTTAACATGCGAAAGTAAAGTGCGTCTAATATTGTGTGTGTGCACGAAATAGTGCCTGTTAAAGCTGCAGGCTATTTAGTCTCTGTAATATAGCACTACTCTAGTCTTTCTAAAAACATGACAAGCAACATATGTCCTGAATCTGTCCTGTGCATGAATATCCTTTCAAGGTTATTCAGCCTTAATAATGCTGGCAATGTGTAAGTTTGCTTCTCTGCTAACATGAAATAAATAAAGAGCCTGTTGTATCACTGAAACAAAAGTACTGGTAATAGAAACATATAATTATACACCCAGCCAAACCATAATATAAAACATTTGGTAATTATATGTTAATAATCCAACTGATAGCTCAATTGGGATAAACAGAAAGGTCTTGTATATGGTTAAATCACAAAAGAGTAAACCACTTGAGACAATCAAACATATAAGGAATGTATCCCGGTTAATGGTTTGTTAAATAAAAGAATGATCTATGTTAATATTTTAATAATACCAGAAGTTTCATATATATATTCTGCATTTTTTGGGGGGGGGCTGGGTCAGGGCTGTTTGGGTAAAAAGGTCCAAAAAGCAAAAAAAAAAAAAGGTTACGTCTCACATTTAAAAAGAATGATGGAGTTGTTACATCCACATGAATATTAACCACTCTTTGTCGCCACTCATCACTTCCTATTCACAGACTATTTAAAGCCTATTCAAACTAATTGCGAAGTCTTGCCAACATCTGCATTTGTCTAATTTCCAAGCTTTATATTTAGTGATTGCCATTTCTGTGTTCTTGACCCTTGCTTTGAGTTATGACTACTTTTCGGATTTTTCTTTGTCTGAACTGATCATGAATTGCTGTCTTTGTCCTTTGCCCATTTCAACACTGATTTTTGGGTTGTTTACTGGATTTTCTTAATAAACCTCCTGCTCATGGATTCTCACACATCTCTCAAGACCTGTTTATTACACAAGGACACAGACTTTTCTTTTCACCTCTTGATAAGGACATCTGGATTATGATTTGTTAAGTCATATAATATAAAACTTAAAAAAAAAAACCTACAAACGAGGCATTTGAAACATCGATTAACATGTTCGTGCAAGATCATGTGCAACAGCACACACAGAAGTAACCCAAGCTGTATTCAAGTTTCGAACCTTAGTTGTATTTAAATAGCCTATTTGTACTGAAGTTGAGTAACATTAAATATTGTACACACAAAAAAATCTGGGTTGGATTTATCCACTTTGACATTGTGTTTATGGATTTGAAAATATCACTGCACCACTTGATTTCAAATGTCACATTCCATGTTGCTCTGTTCCACCCCGTCAATGCAGGTGTGTGCAAATCTCACTACGAAAATAGCAACTGAGCACTAAAAGGAAAAAAATGGCTTCTGCCCAGTTAAATTAACAATACACTGCTGTTATAGCAACACTTACACCTGAACGAAAACCGAGCGCCTTGTGTAACCTTTTGTAAGGTTGACTCTGGACACATTCTACAGAGTTCTTTCATTCACTGTTTATATTCCCCTCCCGCAGAACAGCAGAACTGTGCAGCAGCACACTCGCAGTTTCAGGCCAGGTTAAACAAGCTGTGATCACCAGCTGGGAGTACCTCTTAGCGGTGGGGAAGTATCGGGAACACTGCGAACCATCCCAGGCACAGTAGGGGTCTCGTGCTAGACAGCATTCAGCGCAGGCCTTGCCATAAACGTCACAGCGGTGCAGTGACATCTGGGAAATGCCAATATTCGAGCCTAGATAGAGCTGTTGCTGTAGAGAGAGAGTTCAACTTCTCAGAGGTAATGTAAAAAAATATGTCAGATATCCACATTGAGTTTGGTTGGTTTGATACATAGTCTGACATTTTCTTATGTAATAGCTTGACTTGTTTTGGAGCGAGTTTAAGGATTCTGTGCGCAAGTACACTGCTGTTTAAATATAAACTAAGACAATCTTTCAGTGTCAGCTTGATTATTCACAATAAAGAGGAATCGCAGCTGCAGACACACTCTCTCTCTATCTGTGTGTCAGATAGAGAGCAATAAAACTTTATATTTCTGTGTGATCGAAGTACATGGGTGATTCCATGGTTAGGGTGCCATTTGTCTCCCACTGGTATTACACTTACAAATACAGTATGTGCAGAGTAAAGCAGAGGTATTTTAATCACAGATAAAGAGTCCTTCATAACAAAGTTTCAAATAAATAAATAAAAACTTCAATAAAACCTACAGTACTTAGAGAACATAGAAAATATATTCATCAATATACTCCAAAAATTTAAATATTTTTACAATAATGCATGAATCCAAGTAGGATCTCATGCTTGACGCATCTTTTTTCCATAAGTCGACCATTACAGGTTATAAAAATATATAAATTTTTGTTGCATGCCACAACATTCACTCTTGTTACACTTGTCACACTGTTACTAAATATTGTGTATTGTGTATTCACCCTCTAAGAAATATTAGGAATATTCCACAAGTCACATGTTCAACAGGAAGTTGCGTCATCTGAACTTTCTGAAGATCTTGGGGAGAAGAAAAGTAAATTCTCTTTCTTTGTTTTCAGTTATTTTCTATTATATTAGAAATTGCATTCCTGTTACCCAAATTGTAGACTGAAAGTAAATTATTCCTTTTAAAAATGCATTTTAAGTAAATCATTAGAACGTCCTTAATGTCCTCATGCCATTAGCATGCATTCTAGTTAATTACATTTTGTGTATATAATTCTATTCTCAGCCCATTACTTTCAATGCTGTTATTCAGCCACTGTCAGGAAAGAAACCTTGTGAATGAAATTGTGGCCTGAGATGGGTTTGATACATTTTGAATGGACAAATGCATATTTTCTTTGATTCAGTGTTGAAAAAATGATAGAAATTATAATTTAATTTGTAAGTGTTGCAAGGGCTAAACACCACAACCATGGAATCACCGCTAACACAGTAAAACTGTAAGCCATGGAGAGAAAGTTACACCAAGAGGAAAGAGCTATGCTGAGTATTTTGTGGTATATGGCAGATCCAGCAGTGTTCTATCACTCCTGTCCACAGAGCTCTCATGTAACTTTGTGGCCAGCGCTCCCCTTGGACTCATTCTGTCAACCTCACTTACTATTTGAAAATACTTTCTTTACTGCTACATTTGCAGATTATGTGATTAAGGCTTTTGAGCCATGACAAACATCTGATAAACCTTACCTGTTTGGTAGAAAGCTCCATAGCGGTTATAGCTGTTGGTTCCTGCAAGAAAGAAAAAATGAAACATTTACAAAAAATGAAATGAAGTTATGCATACAATATGTCCCATGCTATATAATTCGGATATAATCCAGGAATTGTTCATACCCTAAACACAGTCATCTCTTCCAGTAAAACTTCCTCAAGGTCATGCCAAGTGCCTCTGGGAATCGAGACCACCTTAAGAACTGTGCCAAGATCTGAAAAGATAATGAAAAACTAACCCATTAATAAGTATCATTTTATTGGATGATATCAACAGTGAGCTTGTTTTATTTTATTCATTCTATAATATTCATATATATACTGTGTATACTACTATATTACTAATATGTTAATGTACTTTTTGTTTTTTCCTACCTCATCCTAGTTACATCCTTTCTAATGAGTGTGTTAAAAATGCTATACTATACTATACTGTACTATTTACACTCCAAAGAAAGGATGAAACCAGTATGGTGAAATAAAAGGAGAAATAAAAATATATATTTAAAATAAAAAACCTATATTAATTAATACTGTACTACACTATACTATAGTATACTGTACTATATTTTTCCATCCTGGTTTCATTCTCTCTATTGCTCTATTATACTACACAATATACTATATACTACTGTATAATAGTAGAATATACAATGTTATACTATAAAATACTATACTAATATACTATATATTATTTCTTCTCCACCATCCTGGTTTGTGTCTTAGATATTCCTTGAAAACATAAGTATACTATACTACATATACTATAGTATACTCCAAAATATAAAACATATATTATACTACAGTAAACAATACTACACTATACCACACTACACTATACTATTGTAATATATACTATACTATATTATGCTATACTATACTATGCGAAGAAAACATATCTTTATTTATGACAACAAAAACACAAGTGAAATAAAGTTGCTGTTGTTATTCTTATTCTTCCGGCTCATCATTGGTCCGCATATTTGATTTGGCACAGTTTTTACGCTGGATACCCTTCCTAACGCAACCCTCCCCAATTTTATCTGGGTTTGGGAGCGACACTGGGAGTGCATTGTGTGACCCCAGTGGCTAGGGTTGGTTCCCTGGCCAGGAATCGAACCCAGGCCACAGCAGTGAGAGTGCTGAGGCCTAACCACCAATCCTCCAGGGAGCCAACAAGTGAAGCAAAGTATCAGGTATAAAATTGCACTTTTTAACACAATACGACCATGTGATCACTGACAGCATTGTTCTGACACTACAATATATCCTCTATTCCACGAACCTGTGCCAATGAACATGACATCATACTGTCCGTCTTCCGCCTCCACTCGGTCCACAACGATCTGTGTGAACTGGTAATCCACATCAGTCTTAATAATGATTGGGCGGTTGTTGAGGGGAAGCACTGGATTGTGCATGGCTGGATGACTTCGGGCAAAAGTGATAACATCATCAGGTAGATCTTTTGTGGATTCAAACCCTCCAAAGGTTTTACTGGGACACTGTCATGAGAACGGAAACAGGAGATAAAGATACGGTCTATTTTCCTGAGCTCTCCCTATGTGCCAATTTAATTGTGAATTGAAGCTGTCTCACCGTGCCAGGGCGTGGATAGGGCACTCTGCCTAGAAAGGGCACCCACTGGTAGTTGGGCCCATCCCGGTGAGCATAGGGACCCAAAAACACCCTCCTGACATCAGCCATGCTGTACATGCACACTGCTGAGCCTTTAAAGATATTGCTGTAAAACACACACATACAGAAATCAACATGTTTGAAGGCAATCAGAGTCAGTAATACCCTGATATGTTTCAGGCAAACAATATCATTAAATATACCTGGATGTTGTGAACACTGCATAGATGATAGGATTCTTAGAGTCCTTTGAACTCATCAGAAAGACGTCCTCTGAAAGGGCAAAAACAAGAATTGAGCTTCATGGATATTTCACAATTATCCTCTCTCTACTCATGCAAACAGTCACGGAGACAACTTACGCAGTTCATCAAAGTGTGTGTCAATTCCATTAAGGCCTGGAACTGAGCAGATGAGCCGAGCTTTCAGGAACGTGGTCCATTTATTCACCAAACTCCTGTGACCTCCAAAGTCGTTCTGTTAACAACACAAACGTGTCAAGGTTAAGTGTAATGACTTTCAAATAATTACTGTTGGTTTCAAAACTAATGAACCTAAAGACAGGGCCATAGTTAAGCCTTTTGTCTTGTATTTTAAATAATTAACACTTTAGAAATTACTTTACATCATATAATCGCACTAATATTAAATCTTAAGTGAAGGCTGATAGCATAGTTTAGGAAAAGTAGGTATCCTGACAGAGTAATGCAGTTTAACATAGAGTCAATTAAGATGAGAAGTCAACTTATTTTGCTAGCTAGATAGGTGTGGTGAATACTTAAACTTCAATAAACTATAAACATTATCCAGTATAAACAGCAAAGACAGCAACATCTGGTTAAAAAAAATATATAATTGCTAATGTAGGTTTTATGCTAATCAGATTTTCTTCTGAAATATGTCTATATTTCAGTTTTATCTAAAGAATACAAAATGAAAAATGAGTGTTTGTCTACATGTGTATACATATACTGTAGACATGATCAAGATTCCAAGAGCAATCTTTTTTTTTCCTTAGCCAGCACTGAAATATAGACATATTTCCAAAGAAAATCTGATTAGCATAAAAATGTACATTAGCAGTTGCGCTTTTTTTTCACTTTTTTTTAGCTAACACTAAAGTATTTCTAAGCAGGGGTTTGTTGTGATAATTGCAAAATTATAAAATAGTTATTTTGTAATTAGAAAATAGCTTATATTTCCCTCATAAACCCCACATACCACCACATTCCATATGTTCTAGCTGGGGCCCTGCTTTTAGATGTAATCCCACATGAACATCTGCAAGCAGTAAGGTCAGGCCCGGATAATGTTTATATTAGCTGCGCTACACATAATGGAAGTAAGTATGCATTGCATGTGTGTGAAATTGTAAAATTTACAAAAAATAGCTGTAAAACATTAAAGCGGTACACAAAACACAAAAAAATCTGCCACAACCAGCATTTATAACATGTTGGTTGTTGGACTGATGACTCGAAATTGCTGCACAGTGCCCTGAGATGGACTGGTCTCTCATCCAGGGTGTATTCCTGCATCACGTCCCGTGTTCCCGGGATAGGTTTCAGATCCACAGTGACCATGACAAGCATAAAGCACTTACTGAAGATGAATGAATGAATTAGCTGCGTCGAGAGGTGTACTGAGCAAGTTGCCAAAAAACAAAACATTCTCTGACATCTTGAAATAATGAGACAATTGTGTGTGTGCTGGTGCAGAGTGGATTCCAGTCATGCCAGAGAGCCAAGCGGCACATAATTGTGAACACCTTTCTCCCGCTCGCCGCTCTAGAGTTCCACTAAGTGCAAATGCAAGTTGTACATTAGATCCACAGAGGAGCCTTTGTTTCGGCCTGCTGATGACTCTGGTGACATTTCAGTCTCTCTTCAGCTTCTCGGTGGGCAGTGAGATTAGGATGCAGGAAAAAGACACATGTCGCCAAAGAAACTTGGCTTCTTAAGCTACCATGTCTACTGTGTGTGTGTACATACAAGCAATTTGGCATGTATGTGCATGCATGTGTGTACAAGATATCAGCGAGTGAAATATTTGTCCATGCACGTCTTTTTATGTGCATGTTTGCAGATCTGTGAATATGTGTGTTATCTTACTTTACACAGCTGTCCAATTCTGGCATGTGTGGCTTTGCCAGTTTGTTCTCCATCAATGGCGTTCTCTCTGAAGAACATGTAGATCTTGTCATCTTCAGGGTTATCGCTCTCAGGAATGAGATGGACACCTACGAACCTAGGTTCTGCACACATACACACACAGTGAATTTTGCATAACATGGAGGGGGTTCTAGACCACGGTACTTGCTTTGTTATGGTTCTGTTAATGAAGGAATAAAACACTTCAGGATGTGATGTTGAAGTGACGTGTGATGTTATTCGAAAATAATCAACGACAGGGTGGTGTGATGCAGTTCTCATTCCAAATTTGATTATTTTTCAATAACAGCATGTCCTGAAGTCATTTATATCTCCTATATCGCCTCCTAATTCGCAAACAAATTTATTTATTAATAAACAACATAATTTTTATCCATTTATAGATACATTTAATGTTATTGACTGTCTGCGAAACAAGTAAGCTCCTATTATTACATATAATATCAGAGTTATAAACAGTCTCTCTCTATGTGTTGAGTGAAAGTTGTGACTATAGAAATAACAACATATTAGAATGAGAGCAACTTGATCAATCTGACCAATCAGAATCCAGAATCCAACAGTTCTGCTTTGGTATTACTAATATTTATTTACTGCATTTGCTAATAACTCCTTACACTCACAGCTTATTATTCAGTTATTCATCTTAAAAGCATGTGTCTCACCATTGAGCCACCGGGAATCATGCTGCTCCGTTCTGATTGGATGATGCTTTCCTAACGTTCGGAAAACAGCAAAGTCTCGCCCCATGAAGTCGGCTGCTGTCCCAGAATACAGCTCACCATCTGTCAATCATATGCGCTAAAGGTCAAACTAGGGTTACGGCAGAGAGAGGAAGAGAGAAGAGGAATGACTAATCTCAGGTGAACACTCAGTGTGGCTTGATGGTCATCACCTGAATATAATTTCAAGAGTTGTTAAAGAAAAAGATCCTGTGATGAAGAAAGTGTGTGTGTGTGTGTGTCTGTGTGTGTGTGTGTGTGTGTGTGTGTGTTTGTGTGTGTGTGTGTGTGTGTGCATGAGGATGTGTGTGAGTGACCTTTAATCTGAGATGAGAGATTTAACAGAAGAATGTGCTGCAGGTAGAGTACAAAGACAAGAACAGTCTGATCTTTTCATCCTCTTAGAAAGACTGTTAATCAGAGGTGTTGAGTTTCTATTGAAAATAGCCCTCATTCACACACGCATACATGCACACACACACACACACACACACACACACACACACACACACACACACACACTCTCTCTCTCTCTCACACACCCAAGTAGCACTCTATATCTACCTCACTTAAACATACACTCACCAATAAGTAGTGAAGCAGTCATGAGTTTTGGGTCATAGGGGCTTTTCCCTCGGCCATTCTCAAAGTGTGATGACTCCAGCCTGAAGATGTTGTCCTACATTCACACACACACACACACACACACGCACACACGCACACACACAAACACATATTGTAATAATGAGCAAATAATTACAAGAGATCACTGGATGGTGAGTTTTTGTCTGAGAGACACAACTCAGGAGAGAAAAGGAAAAAGAGACAGTACATTTACTGACCACTTTATTAGGAACACCTGTACACCTGCTCATTCATGCAATTCGTGCTTGAGTTGTAAACCTTTTAAGACATTTGTGCATGAAGATCAGATCAGACATTTCTAAAATTCTCAAAACCATCCATTTGACACCAACAACCAGGCCACAGTCAAAGTTACTGATTTAAAAGTGGCCAGTGAGTGTATTTGTCACTCAGGATATTATTTTAAACATTTCCTGGTGTCCTTTAACTAAAAAGGGTAGTCATACAACATTCTCTATCACTTTAAGGAATTTGCAATTTATAACACATATATACACAATGAGAAGCCAGTGAATTTAAGTGACTAATTTTCTTGCATTTACTTAAAACTTGCAGGTAAACATTCCTTATGTTGTTGTCTTCATATGTGTATAGACTGTGTATAATCTGTCTTCTAATACACAGACTGTATTGATTGGTTCAAGTTGGTGTGTCTGTGTGTGTTTGTGTGTGTGTGTGTGTATTAATTAGTACTTATCAGCTATTTTTTGCACATTCCTATGTGTACTTGACTGGATGTAATGGACAATGTACTTATTTTGTTTGCTTTCACTCACTAAGGTCTAGTGTGGTCAGTGGTCAAAGATATTTAAATCAGAATGCTTTTCGTAATATTTGCTGAAGCAGCTATGAATAAAATACATAACTAGAGGAAAGACTCCTCTATGGACCACCAGGACAAGGAAGTGTCACTACTACCTTTAATACATTAAGAAAATAACTAATCAGGGGGATATTTACCTCTGGTCGTTTGCCCACCTCCACATAAGCACAGG